CTGTCCATGATGATGCTCATATCAGACCCCTTGCTTACAGATGTGCTGCACTTGGGCACAGCATCAACGTCACTATTGCTCGAAGATTGTACCGCACACCCAGAAGCTTTCAGACCATGGAGAGCACACTCAACCAAAAGTTCTTGAATGAAAGAGATGTGCTCGCCAGAAGGTGGTCTTCTGTCCGTGCTTAATGCTGCCTCAGTGGCAACACTATACATGGTGGTCAGAGAGAGAATTTCAACTGCTCTCCATCTCGGCACACGTACTGAATAAGTCTACTGCAGCAGTTAACAACTCTGAGATTGATTTTCCAGTCCTCCAATATTGATCGACCCGTCATACACTGTCGATGCAAGGCACTGATGATCGATGGGGTCAAATTGATTTGGAGAAGAGCATTGAGTGCCTCTTTACTGGTTCGCACGATCACGTCCGCTGCGTATAGTAGGGAAACAAGTTCAGCATCCTTTATTCCACGTCCGCCACTGCCAGCAAGTGAGCTGCGCATGGTGGTCAGTATACGAGTGGCTCCCACATTGCTGACAACGTCGAGCACCATCAGCCGCTCCGCATCTCGATCTCGATTGCGACGTGTCCATTCGACCAGCAGAAGGAACACGTCAATACCCGAGACTCTGTCAAAAAGCATGCGAGAAACTTCAGATTGAGCGACAAAGGCAAATATACCAACGTAAGCGATCTTGGTTTCTGCCAGAGAATCGGCGACCTTGCTGTGTCATTCCGATGAGTATGGCTTTCGTGGGAGAACAGATGTTGTGAGGCTCACTACTTTTTACTGTACGTCTGTGCCACGTAGTACGCTAAGAGTTCAATATTTCGCCACCAGCGATCTGGGCCGTTGAAGATAACTCTACGTCGCTTCCATATCTCGTCCCAGAGCAATATGGCCTTACTCAAAAGACGGTCCCTGAAATCGCTTGCAAGTGATTCATATCCGTGAACCTCGTTTGACATGATTCCCTCTGGCTCGGTCCCATAAATCACCGCCCGAAAAAATCCCCGAATGCAGGTTAGAGCGGCTGTCACCCATTCCTACGTATGCGCTCAGCTGGTACAAGTCGGTATAGAGTTATAACATGTCTTATACTTCGGGCTGATAAAGGAAGTTCTCCGCCAAGATGATGTCTATGATCAGCATAGGAAACTCCGTTCTGATGCAGGCGCTCCACAGTTCCGGTCCAATGACATCTACTGAGCCTCTCTTTCCAGAGAAGTCAAAGTGGGCAGAAATAGCAGATATAGCTGCCATGAGACTTCCCCGTGGGGAGATGTCCGAGGAGCCGCATCTCAAGAAAAGCTTTCGAAAGGTTTCGAGCACAACCGATGGGCCGTTGCACAGCTGCTTATCGAATTCGAATACAGTTTCTTCATGCTCCTGGTCTCTGAAGAGAGATGGTTTCAGCAGAGCCGTAGGCATGGGGCATGCAAAGAGGTTCCCTTGAAGACGACGGTTTATGGGCTCGACATAGACAGGCAATTTGGGATGAAGCGGAGGCACCCGTGCGGAGCGTTTCCGCTTTAGTACGACGGAAGGACCAGGGGTATAGTCTAGTAGCGGTGGCCGGTCGCCTTATATGTGTTAAGATCGAGCAGGCCATTTCATATACTCGTTTTCTACGTGCCTCTGACGCTGACGCTCCAATAACGTATGGAAGACACGGTTTCGTCTCATACCTTTGGATATCTTGAGCCAGTCTCCTCGTTTATTTCAGAAACCCCGCGGACGCGACAAAGAAGGGATTGACGTGTTTGTTATGGTTGATCATGACGCCATCTTCATCATCTCATTAGCAATTGGCGATCATGTGCTAGACAATTGGAAAGCATATCTTCACATTGGACTGTACAGGCATGAAAGCAATGACGCGATGTGTGTATGTCTTGACTTCGCGTGTCGCAACCATGGTCTTGTACATGTGTGATTTTGTTTGGTGATGGTCCGGTGCTGACCCGCATTTGTATCTGTCCGTTTTTAGCTTCCCCGCAAGATGATCTCTATTTTCAAAGTCGGTGTGTGAACTCAAATACAGCGCGGGCTCGTAATTGAGCGTGTTCGAAGCAGGATCTGACGGATGACGGAGTACACCACTCGTAAGAATGATTTGAGATCGATTGCAACACGTACCGTCGGGCGCGGTCCAAAGTTTGGTAATGCACGTTTGACTTTAGGGAGCTTCTTGCGCGCCTGCAAGATTCGATGGGGCATTTGTCACGGGTCAAAGCGTATTCCCAGCAAATATCTTGCCAGGCAGAGGTAAGACGCCAGATCACAGACTTCGGGGTCGATTCCAGCAGATTTCATGAATATGGCAGTCTATCACTTCATCGTGCCTGCTCGCAGACAGAACCTGCTCTTGATCCCGCGCTGTGCACTGGCCATTACACTCCCTGCAGGTTGTTGCATACTGATCCATGCAAGTGCAAGAGAGCAGTGACAAGTCACCATTAGCATTCTGATGATGGTAACGTTTCGTAGCATGTCTACACATGTCCTACATGCGCGGTTTCCATGGAAACGCGCCGATGAGGCAGTTGTAGACAGGCTCAAGTCAGCATCAAGATCCATCGGGTCGCGGAGTGAATAGCCACCGCTATCCCAAATCGGGCGGAAATTTGGCTTGCAATCGAGGATCAATGCCAAGTCGAGGCTCTCTTTCTCATGAAACAGTCAAACATTTCTCCAGAACGGTCGTCAAAGAAGGGCGAACCGGACTCGAAACTTGGTTTTTTCTGCTAGTAGCCTTTTTGGTGTTGTAATTTTGGCATTGTTCTACACTTTTTGTTCATCCTTATTAAGAAGGTATTGTGCCTGGTCGTGTGGGTCAGCAAGAATGTGCACATGGTTATTTGAATGTTTGAAGACATGGAGCCGTAGCATCTGCTCGTGTTAGGCACAAAACAGACTCGTGCAAGCCTGGAAGCAGACATTCATCACTCTTCTCCGACCGAGTGGCGATCTTCATGCTTTCCCCCAAAATGAAACCCGATGTCTCAGGAGGTCTCGGAGGAAATAGACCCGCTTCCCTTTTGAATGGACCGGGGCGGTTTGCGTACTCACTCTGCCCCATCCTAATGAATGCCCACCACAGCAGCGGGGGGACGTACCTGCCGGGATGCATGAGCGTACATCCGCAGGGCATTGGTAGGTACGCTTTCTGCCCTGTATTGCCGCACACTATGCACTCTCACGATCGCAGTGCCCAAACACCGACGAAATCACATGAATTCCTTCCTAATGGCAACTTTGTGGCTCTCGTGCAGAACTTTCCTCACGGAATGCTGTCTGATTGGCAGCCAAACCACTCAGCGGACTTGCTCGCTTTGTCTGCACACTCTCTAAGGCCACAACATTCATTTGCGCCAGATCTTCTTGCCACCAGCACGCAGGCTCTTGTTGCTTTTAAAAATCCCGGAGCGCCTGAAACACCGTGTTTGCAGGTATGTTTCTCACAGACGCCGCCTTATCATTTCTGAAACGTTTTTAACTCGGGAAAGTCCGGTGCACAGAAGTCCACTCCGCAAAAGAAGCGGCGTATGAGCACCGCCACACGGCGAGGTCGTCTTACTGCCTTAGAGCGCTGTCAGCCTGAGGACCGCAGTCATTCTCAGCCTTCAGAGGGCAGAGTGTGCCTGGTTTGTCATACGAAGGATTCGCCCGAATGGCGTAGAGGTCCGACTGGGCCCCGTACTCTATGCAATGCATGCGGAATCTGTTACAGAAAGTTTGTAAGTGTTTCCTTTCTTTCCGTTATACGGACTGCTTTTCACGGCTTTTATTTAGCTTAAGGCGCGCGGTCACGAAGTTAAGAAGGCAGCTGCGGCGAAGAATCCCAAAAGGAGAAGCGATGGGCTCATCGGCGGCCTTTAACTTACACTTTTTCGTAATGAAAGACACCATTTGCTGTTCATCGTCCCTACACATTCTCTACATCTGATAAATTTGCACGACCTTCACACACGTGCATATGACCATGATTGATGCGTCATCTATGCTCAATAGTTTCTCGAAGAGATAGAAAATATGTAACCCCTTTTTTGGAGCGACACAGTGGTAATAGCAGCAGCAGTAGGAGTTGCCCACTAATTGGTCCCATGCATGCCACGTGCTGAACCTGCCGACGTCACGACTCTAGCGACGATCTCTGCGCGTTTAAGAAGTTCCTTTACCAGAAGGTGGTAGACACCATCATCCATCCTGTTCCTCATTTTCTCTTTCAGAAGTGCATATCTATTGCTCTATCGTACATTCAGTTTTTACGACGTCACAGGGGTCCGCAACAGGACCGTCATCACCGAGCTAAGTATCTGTCTGACGCAATCTCTCAGTTTCGGATTTCAGAGCGATTTAGCCGGCGGCAGGCTACAATGTGCGAATGCAGCACCCAAAGTCCGAACCCATTGATGTCTGGAGTCTCTGGTATATATGTAAGCGTAGATTGAGGGCTTAGTGTTACAAATATGTCACGATTTTCGCGAAAGAGCACCTGCCTCGGCGATGGAGGCAGTGTCGGTTTGTTCGCAGATGCGGTGCACGCAACGAAGAAAGGGAAAAGATTGAATTTATGTCAGTGAAATAGGGCTGATCCTATATATGCGAGTATATGTGCAGTAACATGTACAAAATTCGGCCAGTTGCTGGTAAAGAGGGCTGCTCAGCCGGCGGCGGCGCAGGATGCCAGTTGGGGTGCGGCCACTGGGCATAAGGGGGGGTCGGGGAAGTATGGCTCGCTCAAACGCGCATGGGTGTGTGTGTGACATAGAAAAGAGAGATAATCAGTTTATTTCTAGTCGCCGGTCTGGGGTCGTTTACGTGGCATAGAAAAGTGGCACAGCAGACCCACATCGGGGCTAAAATGGCAACGTAAACTAACCGTCGTTTGAGTGACTGCGACAGGGCCTTTAGTACCCTATATATGATTCAGTGCATATTCAGTGTCGGTAACCACATATACTCACACCGCGGATTTCTATCATGATTAGTCGAGCCACTCATAGCCCACCTCATACTTTTTATCCTCTGTGTTTTGCCTTAAATTCTCCTTTGTTGTCCTTTCCCCGACAGGACCTACACCCACAAGAAGGCAGAGCTCCCAGTACTGGTGTTCAACTGAAGGACTGTTGCCATACGTAGCCAGCGCAGACTTGCCCCGCGGCGCGCTTGTGCGTGGGGTGACCCAATGTACCGCACGCTCCACCCGGTACTTTTCATCGTCCTCCGGCCACAGCGTAACTCCGCCGTATTGGTTCTTGAGAAAGCTCCATATCTGCCCTGGAGCGTATTCGCCGCCAATGACTTTAGTGGTGAGGACTACTAGACGCTTGTACTCTTTCGAGTATACACGGCAATCATACGCGACATGTAACTGCGCCTGCAGTCCAGCAGCTTGAGCTGCACGGAGGATAACAGCATCCGAGCCTTTGAGAACGCTGGTGATATGTTGTACGTCCTCGTGAACAGGCATAAAGTTGTCAGCGAACTCTACTGGGTATGCGTGACGCAGACCGAAGCCAAGATAACCGCCTTGCGGCATGAAATGAGAATCATCGAGGAGATGCCGAAGCCGATGTGCAAAATCAGACATGTCGGGCGCAATTGAGCGGGTGGATGTCGACGCAGTCTCTGCATCGTCAAAGTAGAGATTGTAGGTGATGGTTACGCGGTACCCAGATGTAACTGGGAGCACTTCATGCTCGATATCGCTATAGAATGCCGCGTAGCCGAACGCAGTATTTCCATTGCTCAAAGCGGCTGAAGCCGAGTCAAAAGTCCATTCATGCCCTTGGTGGCGGAAGACCAGGTCCCCGCCAGAGTGCTTCGTCGGGTAGATCAGAACAAGTGAGCCAAACATCCCGTTTCCGCGTGGAGTATCTTTGTGCGCCTTGAAGAACCCTCCTTTACCGTAGACATTAAGCTTGTCTAGCTCATAGCGAATTGGCCGCTTTGACTCTAGGCCGTCGAGAACATACTCTCGCACTCCACGCCCCAGTGCAGTGTCCTCGGGCCGGAAGGGAATAGCGAAGTTGGGGAGATCGATCTTTCCTGCTTTACGATAGTCATCGTCGATCACAGACTGTGCGCCGCGACCAAAGGGCGCAATGGAGCACGACTCTGCAAGGGTGCTGACTTGCTCGTTTGTAGCGCTCGCCAGATTGATAGAGTGCGCCTGGCCGTTTTGATCTTTGAAGAAAAGCTCAAATACGTCATTTTGAAGAGGCAGGGAGCCAAAGTAGGGCGCCTTGTCAACGATAGTATTAGAAAGAGTCGAGAACGCGTCCTCGGTGTACCGATCGACGCGCATGTCTGGTTGAAGAGGAGAAACAAGGAGGAACAGTGTGTCGCATGCCGCTCCTATTTATGTTCCAATGCTGCATTTCGTCAGTCAACACATAACACGCAGAGTAAATTATTGAGCAACGTCTCAACCTCTGCGCAAAATGTGCGCAGACCCACCTGTATGCCAATGTAGCTGATTTTCTCCGGCTCTAACAAACCATGACAAACTCAAAGACTCCGTTACCAGCAAATGATAACAGGTAATGACAGACTGCATGACTACAATATCATAGAGTCATCATTACTACCGGAAATGCAGCTGAATTCCTCCTGTAGAGACACATGGCACATATCAGTGCCTTGAGGTGCAGGCAATGTGTGACAAGTTTACCCGGTCAATGTGATCATATTCTTGAAAGCGGCATGCACTGCCGCAGATGGATTGGCACGTACTGATCCAAGTGAGCAGCGACACTGGTAATTCCATGGATGCAATTCGGCATGAGGCTCAATGACGTGCTTTCAAAGTGATCATTTTGTCAGATGTACAGTCAGTGGAACCAGAACCTCGTAACACCTCCAATCGAGGCACCTTTATTATTGCCGTTTTTGTGAGACCATTGCACACTGGAATAACCTCTGAGATAGCCGTGAAAATTTCTATGGTATCAGATCACCACAGGGACTGGAAGTTGTCACTGTCGGAATCAATTTTTACTCACTGTTTGCTGCATATCGCTCACAGAATAGCCAGTGAAAATACAGCAAATATCACGGCTATGGAATTAGTACACAGAGTCTGTCTACTTGACGAGATTATTGCTACTGTAGAGAGCAGTACTCCTACTATGTAAGACCCCGCTCATGAAAGATTGCCGGTGGTAATGCCATACTCTCATCACGAACTCTCATCATGTCCTGGGCAGAGAATGTGAGGCCCATGCTAATATACGGATTGAATGCCTTAATGATTGGTGTTGTTCGCTGCGCGGCCAAAAGACGACCAGTAAACCAATCTGGCTCCTCTGATGCTTCAAGTCTGTGCCCATGCGCGAGAGACCGTACTCTGCGCGCAGTGGTGACGACGTATGGCTGAAGATTGACATGGCTTGCGAAGAGTTTGAAATTATGTATTGACTCCACTCGGCAGCGCGTGAGAGGAACAATCAGATAGGAGACTATCTCACCCGCTGGCTCACGCCAACTCATTGTTATCTGCCAGCCGAGTATCTTGATCTTGAATAGAACTTCCGTCTCACTACTCATGATATAGTCATCCACTATTGCATAGCATTCGACACCCTGCCGAATGCGGTGAATGACAATGGATCCGATAGACACTAAGCAGGAGCCGAAGGGACTCAGAACCCAGAACAAGGCCTGACGTGCCCCACATAAAGATGAGTGCTTTGAGAGAAATGTCAGGAAGACTAGAATATCTAGGCTGACAGGCTCTACAATGCGGCTCGTACTAGTGGGGATCGACTCGTGTTTTGGACCATGAGTCCAAATAGGGACTAGGGGATTTGAAAATCGGTGTTGCATCCCGTCTCGCTTATTCTCAGTATCTCTCTCATTACAGTAGCACACGTCGGGCATTGGGACCTCAGACAAAGAAGGGAGAGAGGCGAACGAAGACTTTGACCGTGTGCTTGTTGACGGGACTGATATCACCGTACCGTCAGAACATGGACAACGCATTCACGATGATGAAAATTGATGAAGGTTTTAGTGGGATAAGCGGATGCTTCTGAACCTGATATGTATGTGTGCTTCGCTTTATAAGTGTGTACGTGGGTTTCACATGCGGCACAGTAGGAAAATACCTGAAATACACATCTGGCAAATTCTACATCGCTTGAACATGGGCACCATGCTACTCATGCATCACTGTTGTCAGTTCAAAACTGGGCGGATCCCTCACTAGATCATTATGTGGATGCCAATGGACGAGTACACATTTCACAAAGGATGTCTCCATTGAATTAGGACCGGATCACAAGTGCAAGTCTCACGGTCAGTGACAGCAGGAGTACAAAATGAAAAACAGACACCTGGGCCAATTTGAGATCAGCAACAATCGGGTCGGGCGACACAATCTTGGATACATCTCAAATGCGCATCGCGCATTGGACACTGTATGTGATGCAATAGTCAGAAGAGACACGGTGATTATGTCTTGATGTCCTGAAGCTACAAGCCGGGGCAGGTATATAAGTGCCGCAGCTCGAATGCTCTGTATGCCTCTTGCCTTCACCATTGCGAGATGCCGTACAAACGCACGCCCAACAAAAGAACTTGGAGAGGTACTGGGCACGTACGATATTCCACTTCTCACCCAATAATTCAGTAGTTTGAACACTTCATAGCAGCTGATAATTCAACCTGAATGCAGAAGAGAAAAGCAAGCGCTGAAGTATGAAGTAGCATGACATGTGGCCATTGACCGAGCTTAAATATATTTCTTAGGCCTTGTCAGCCTCAAGCCTCCCTCCCAGGCAACAAAGACGAAAAGCGTTCCAAGAGAAAGAGGCGTAAAACAGAACCTCGATCGAATGATGATCCACAAGAAGCTTGTAGCGTTAATGCTTTGGAGGCCGGTAGCTCAGTGAAATAAGAGATGGACAAGGAATGGCGTGAAAGGGGTCAAAATGTGTATTGACAAACCTTATCCACATTTGGTACTATAGGATTAGGCAGGCCTCGTCCACGTTTGGCCTGTGCAGAGCTGAAGTCAGCCTTATTTGGGTTTCCATGATTGCAATCAAAAGAAATGGAGACTTGTCTTGGCAATAGTTCGGAACGCCAGGTTTTGTCTTTTCAAAAATTGTGACACCAATCAACCTACTTTCTATAATGAATAGTCAGATGTATTCAAGCAGGCAATGAAATCTGATGCGTCTCGAGAGAATCAAACATTGAAAAATGTATATTCGTCGGATACACCTTTCCACCCGACTCTAGTTCACAAGATGCACCCGAGAGTGATTTGTACGACCCAGGGGACACGAGGTCTGAAAAGGACAGTAAAGCTCAAGTTACGAATTCTCAGTGACATATCAAGCTCATCAGAAGGGCAGCACAATACTGACGACTATCCATTATATATGCAGCAGGTCCTAGTGCCACGGTCGGTAAGGTTTCGTTTCTGTGGTCAATCTACGGGGATGATGAGCGACGAAAGAATGCTATTGATGGTTTGAGTACACAGCCCCCAGACTCGAGTCTCATCGATGCCAGCAACTGTGTTCTCACATGTGTTCCGTGAGCAACAAGTATTGGAAAGAAATCCAAAGGGCCTCAGGATCTTCTAAGTGCTATATAATGATAGCCTTTGGAGTATCTTTCGACTCATCTCACTGACTGAATCATGAGCCAGTGACTGCCAATGTCACTCATAGCAAGATGTCGGGCGAGGCTTGACTCCTGGACGTTAGATAGTACGTTTCTTGAATAGACTTTTCGTGATGGAGTCATGTTGAGATATTTGATGTAGGAACGGCTGCGAGTTTCATGTGTTGAAAGGGCCGGGAAGCAAAGTGCGCTACTTATGGCGTCTTCTCCTGCTCTTCCATATATATCAATGTGCCCGCGTCTTTTGATGGGAACGGAACCTTTAGCGGTCCGCGTGACTGTGATGCCATCAAAAGACGGCCACTGCTTTGCGCGTGATTCTGCTTCCATGTTGTGCTTGCCCGTTCATTGTCCATCGTCCGGGAGCCGTCAAAATCTCGCTTACTGCTCTTCCTCTCGTATTTATCCAGCGCTATGGGTCGAAATGTTATGCGTCGTCGTCACGCCTCTCTTTCTGGGCCATCTGCGCGACAGTCGCAGCCACGTCAGCAGCCACTTGACATCACCTCTATCGGTCATGTACTTGACGACCAGAGTCTTGCAGAGACAACTGCCTTGCTGACGGACGAAAAGCAAGTTCAGCATGCTTACGAGTTGCTTCAGAGCACGAGCCTCTTTATCTACTTTGTCATCGAGCGTCATCGCATCTTCGTTCGACGCCACACCGGAAAGTCCCCGCCCTGGACCAAGGACGGGGTGCTACGCAACTTCCGCTTTACGAACGATTTTCGCGTGCTGGACAGGGGTTGTCAGTTTGGTCTGACCGACGTCATACACAAAGGGCCATCTGACTTCAGATCACGGGTTTTTCGGGTACTGGCATTCAGCCTGTTTGTCAGTCAGAAGACGTACTCGTTTCTCGAGAGCAGGTTCGGCTCCCCTCTTCTGGAGGAAAACTTCGATCTGGATAAATGGAACGAGGCGCTCGACGACTACGTCGCTGACGGAAATAAGGTCACCACCGGGGCTTACCAGATATCTGCACCAACCGTCGACCAAGTTGGCGATCCTATCTATCATCATCGTCTGATACGTCTCCTTGCCCTTCTTCTCCAGTCCAAAGTTAGCGAGCAGATTGAAGACTGCCGGGAGTTATGTGACTTGCATTCGGTCCTTGCTCGTTTCCCATCCTTGACACGCTTTTTGGGTTATCAGTGGGTGAACATATACAGGATCTCTCCAACGTAATTGACGAATACTTCAGAGTGGCCTTGAATCTGAACATGATACCCGGTCTTGGCTTAGCGGAAGATTGGGTCATCATTGGACCTGGTGCGCAGCGTGGCTTACAAACGATTTTTGGCAATGGACTGCCTCCTCGTCTCCACATAGTTGCGCTTAAGTGGCTTTGCGAGAACATCCGGCCGCTGTCGGTCAAAGCCGGATACCCTGAGCATGACATACCAACGTTGGCTCCCGGGTACCCTGCCCTCACTCCGGTTGACGTCGAGCATATTCTATGCGAATTTCATAAATACGCAAAGCTGGTTGATCACGCACGATACCCTTGCCGGGGGTCTCAAATGCCCAAGCATCGCAATTTTCCGCGTCTTGATTCGTGGCCAATGGTCACTGCACGCCAGCCCGAGAATAAGCTGCCCTGTCATGTTGCGCGGGAGCAACAGAATCAACAATACACCACTCCGCATCCCGACGATGACGGGGAATATTGGCCCCAACACGTTCTTGAGGAAAAGGGCATCGGCTCGGGGTCCCATCTGCTCAGGGTACGCTGGGTGGGCTATCCTCCCAATGCCGACACATGGGAGTCGGCACAACTGCTTACTCAGAGCTCTCCCGATGTAGTCAGAGCATTCAGGCAGAGAATCGATCAACTGGAAGCTTTGAGATTGTCTTTGATCTCGAAAAAAGCGGGTGATCCTGCTTAACAGGCAATTCCCATGCCGTGATCGCTCTCATTGATGAAACTGTGGTGAGTATCTTCATTCAGTGGCTGTCGACATCAAGTCTGAACTTACATTAGGCGCTTTCGTTGCATTATATCAAGTCATATACTGGAGATCTACCGCTTGTTATTCTTTTCCATCAGAGAGCAACCACACTTGAGAAACCCACTGAATACGCATCCTCTATAGTCGTACAAGCATTGCGCTCCCATCTGACTGGTGCCCGTATTCTGACAACTTCAATGGACGACTGAAAGATGTGAAAAGTGGAACGAAACAGGAAGGGCGGGTGATTGTGAATGATCTAAAGCTGTAATGAGGCCGAGAGACGTATGCGTGTCGATCTCAGAGTAAGGAGACTCCGAGTCGGCTTAGACGGATGTTCAACACAGTGTGCGTTAGTCACTGGAAAAGTAGTGGACGTGCGCGGGGTCGGTCCGAGAGGTATACTCTGGCGCCGCGTGACCCATGTTAGCCGCACAAAACACTGTCACGAGCCTACCTTACAGCAGACTCCGGGCTCGCTTATCTCATGATTATGAGGCTACACTCAGATATTACCTCTGTATTCACTGCAGTTAAGGAGAGTGGCACCGGTAGTTGCCGACCTGAACACCTTTATGGGCCCACAGTTGAATTACACGCTGAACATGACCTACTTAAGCACACTCAGGTCCTAGTATTAGAAGACCCGCAGAAGGTGGATTCCGAGATCTGGTATTATATGCTGGCGTGCTAGGAACATTTGTTTCAACCAGAAACGTCATAGTATCCTGAGCTGATACGCTTGACTCTGTCTCGTATGTAGTCACGTTTGGATAGTGGCAGAAGGGTGTACTTTGTGCGATGAACCTCAGGTCTACAAGGGTGTGTGTTATGTAGAGTTTGAGAAAGCCGCCGTTTTTCCCCTTCTTCTGACAGAGATAGAATGGTATGGGCTGATCGTGCGGTGCATAACCCAGCTCCCAGTCTCCATGACCTGGCAATGAGTTTCCCCATGCGTATCCCGCTGTCACTCTTAGAATTGCGAATAGCTGGTCAATATATTTGCTTACTTATTGACAGGTCGGAGCAGTCAAAGTAGAATGCTGACACGTATTCCCAGTTCTTTGTGTTATTATGAAGTTTGAGTCCATATACAGGCCGCCTCGCAAAGCTCCCGCCAAATGACACTTTTGTCGGGTTTGACGTATTGCGTCGAAGATTGACGTTTGCGTGTTGGGAAATGAGAGACGGTTCCACTGTAGCTCTGGTCTCGTCAGACTTTTGCGAGCGTGCAAAGCAGAGTTCTACGCTATATCGTGGCTTTTGCGAGGTGCTGTCGCAGACATAGTTCAAGTACTGCATAAAGCGAGAAGCTTTTTTGAGTACTTGTAACACCATATGGTTGTCGGATGCATCAATAGATTGTTCCAAATCCAGTGGTCGGCAAGAAATGAGTGGATTCCTCATGCTGAGCTTGAGTTTGTCCCTGGCTTGCATACGGAGGCAAAAGTCAGCATGAGCTTCGTCAGTCAACTGCACCCGACTGAGAGCGTCGTTCTGCCATCTGATTATTTGGCATTCTAGGCTTTGAATGACGTCCAAGGTCTTTCCCTTTTTAGGGGGCCTGCAAATGTGTAGATTCATCGACATCACTGCGATAGCAGGCAGATACGCATGTTGGGGTACATGGGAAGCAGATGGAGAAGCAGCACTTTTGAACTGCTTTTATGACAACATGGACCAAACCCGATTACGAGACGTGATTCTGAGAAGAAAGGGTTGTATTGGCGCACATAGGCAAGGAAACAAATCTCGATGGTTGCATCAGCGTGGTATAGATTGCAGACGGCTTTCAATTTAGAACTCGGGGATAGAACAATGCCAGACTGCACATGTCAAACACATTCAGATGATGTCTTGCGTTCGCGTCGCAATATGACCGGCTCAGAAAGAATTAACCTCCCGGGAGACTTGCTTTTCTCATTGTACAATGCCGCCTCACAATTTAAACTCAAGTGCTATATACTGATATTGTAGTGTCCCTTCTATTTTCATCGTCCTCTTCTTTGACAGCATTCATCTATGGAAGAGTTCAACAAATGAGGGCCTCGAAGCACTTGCCATGACATCCTCACAATCGTGATTATATTCTCTTGGTTGATAGCAACGTCGTCAATGACAGCGTTTAGCCGTCTGCTTGACAAGCGAAAGGGCATGGCACAGTATATGTCCTCGGCATAGATTTGGCTACGATGAGATAGCCTTATGAACGGCTTGGTGATGATTTGCATTGAGATTGCCCCAATCGGTATTTCTGACAAAGGTATCGCCCGTTGTGTGTGCGCCTGTGGATGGTCTATATCAAATTCGGTCGCGGTCCAGTATTGGCTTGTGCGCTCTTCTGTGTGAGGAGGGTAACTGCCTGGCTCTGGCGGGTTTGAGTCTCGCGATAGACTGTGGCGAACCGAATTTTGATTGAAGTCATGAACGTGCAAGGCTGTCTGAATGGACCTTGTGTGAGGGTCAGTGGAGTAATTGCTACAAGTCACTGTGCGACACCCGGATATGCAACCCCAATCGTTTTTGCAAAGGCTGTAGTCGAAGAACCGAGAGTAGAAAGGACCCCATTCTTGCCAACGCAATCTGAAGCGGGTGCGTGGAAGGCTAACTTCTGGGTAGTGGGTCGGGGGTGGTAATCTACGTTCGCGTGCGATGCTGACAAGTGGACCGACGCGAATTGCAAGATCGAGGGTTTCTATGACCCAGAAACTCTCTGCTGAATTGAAAGTGATATCTAACCGGATAATCTCATACGTTATCACCACCATGCTGTCCATGTCTTGCTTGGTATCACCTTTACCACTCAGACATTGTGCGGTGCTGGGGCAGTTGAAGCTAATTGACGAATGGGAGTGGCGGTAAAAGTGATTGCTAGCAAGCTTCGGAAGATAAAGAGTGACCAACGGTCTTGGAGGTGTGAAGTAGAACGTTTGAGTGAAGTCTTTGACTTGAAGTATGTGCAAAGCCCCCCTTTTCGGGTTTGACACAAGAATACAATCACTGGTTATGAAGACGGCAGCATGTGTGTGACAGATTGCCTGTCCATGCATACGGTCAGGAGCAAAGATCTGTTTTGATTATTTGTCATTCAATGCGCCAATGGAAATACGAGATACTCATACCGTCGTATGCGACCCTTCTCTCCAATTGAAGAGTGATATATTGCCGCAGTAGTTTGTATGAACGTTCTGGGTATACATCAAAACAAATTCTCCGCAGATGTTCATGACAAAGCGCGGAAGAGAGCCGTCGTCCTGATCTTCCATATGTACCAGATCAAGCTCAGATAAAGAGACTGGGTCATTAAAGGCAAGGTTATGTGGGGAACCGCTTGACATTTGGTAACAACGCATCTCATAGTCCCAAGAAAGCGCTCTGAAGGAAGAGATGTATCAGTTAAAGCGCAAATATGCGTCGAACAAGTGACGTACTCGCTGATCGAAGCAGGATCGCCCGTGTAAGTTACAGTAATAACCAAGTCTTGACTTGGATCTGTGCCGATTCCCGCAACACGGTCGGTGGATGAGCTATGTGGCAGTGTTGTCGCTTTCTGTAGGCATTCCTTTCGCGAAGACGAGGGAAGGTTGACAAATAGTAAGTATGTGACTAGGCTACTATTCTGTAAGCACTGTGCCAGAGTCAAGGTGCTGCCACTCAGAGTTCTGAGCAAGATGTTCACAGAGGGAACGGTGAAGTGGGCCACTTCCTTGTCCACCAAGGTTAAATAAATCCAGCTATTCTCACGGTGAACTAAGCGCTCAAGCTCATCGTATGCGGAGGCCAGCGTGTAACTCTGTGGAGCCGAGGTGCGATATAACGTCTGAGCAAGGATAAGCTGTAACGATGCAGACGCATCAATGAGGGAGCAAAGTGCCGAGCACGTCTGCCATGTCATCAGTTATGTTACCGTTTTCAATCGATTGAGTTTGTACCAAACGACATGACAGTAAGTCTCTTGTACAAAAGTATGTCATACACTCGTGGGTAATTTCACGTGGTAGTCCGAGAAAGGCAAATGTATTGCTTGGATTTGAAGCTTCCTGAACAGCAGTCACATAAGCTCTCTTAAGCGAGTATCGCATTTTTCTGGGAATATGCGAAGATGGATTGAAGCAGACCAGACACGGAAGACGTTGTGCGTGGTGACCAGAAGCAGGGGGATAGAAATGATGAAGGCGCGTCTGGAACGGTACGTTCTCGAGCCCATGGGTGTAGAGACTCTCAGGGTTGGAGCGCAAATCCTCATCAGTTGTAGTGTCGATTGATATGAATCCTGATGAGATCGATGTTGCTGTGAGACTGCTCTGACTGCCGAGGGACGTAGCTGTGACTGCAGTGCTGAGCGCCTCCGAGTGGCTGCTGTCCGACATTGCAACCCAAATCTCCTCAACTACTGATGCCTTTTCAAGTTACCCAGTGTGTATATATAACATGAATAATCAGAAATCCAAACCATAGAGATCTGCTAAAATATGCAAAACCAGGGCTCGCCATCAATCTCAAGGTCAGGTTTGTACAGTTACAACACGCTGACAGTGAATCAAATCAAAGGACAGATGCGAGCCCCTTGCTTCTCTTCGTCATTGTCAACAATATAAATTTCTACCTGGTCAGTCTCAATATCATTTCTCGCAGTCTAAGACCCTTTGTAGCCTGAGTTCTTGATATATCCAGATGCAAACCTCACAAACGTATTGCCAGCACTCGATGCGTGCGAGTCTGACGAGTGGATATGCTATTGAAGGGGGTTTCTTTATAAGAAACAATACTTTATGGGTATGGGTACAGCTTGATTGAGTCGATATACGTGAGCAGACGTTCCGTGCATAGTAAGGAAGCTTTTTCTCTCTGTCACTGCACCTTATCTAGCCATAGACAACAGCAAATCATGTTCTTGTAAGAGAAGCCTGAAACGGCATGCATGAACAACTGAAGATCGTTCCACCGTGGTAGCGCATGTGCGCTACTTGACGTCTCGCTCACGAATTGTTAGACATCAAATTGCGTTATCTTGTGCTAATAGAAGGTTTGATATTTACCAAACCCATGCGTGTACTCCAAGCAATCCATGTCCCCTGTTCCTTCTCCACAGACGCCAAAAACGGTCCCACAAAGTAGTAAGCCATGGAGAAATGAGCATGCAAAGGCTGTGTGTGTACGGGTTGGGGTGGTTCAAAGGCTCTTGCTGAAAAGCGGCGAAGGCGATACACCAATGATGGAATGCACGTGCGCGCGCACGTGTATCTTGTTAATTCCAAACTTTTTAAAGATATAGTTTTCGCTTCAAGTGAACTTGATGCGCGCAGAAAAAGCCCACTCGTCCCTAAGTTGATTGAACTGGTAGACTGGGCTTATTGGCCCGTTTCCTGAACGGTCTCGCTTCGCTCCTCTGCGTGACATTTAGCTCGTCTCTTTGGTCTTCAAGTATTTTCATATGTGCATCTGCGCTACGTATATCGATGACTGGAAACATGTATACATCCTGTAGATTGTCACACGGCGGAGAGAGGAGGCGAACATCCTCGGTGGCTGCCAAGAAGCCGTCTCTACCCTCGGATGCTCATAACTGCCGATGCTGCTTTGAGGTAGAGCACGTACCAGTTCAAAGGCGAACAAATGGAGTAGTATGTTAGAGTGAAATGAACAACAGTGAGTATTGGATTCTGTACCACAATTGTGCACAGAGTCATGTGCAATATGTCTCCCCTTGAACCGCATATGCGTATGTGCTCCTGATCATACTGTTCGTGTCGGTATGTTCCATGTGTACCCTTCAATATTGTATGTCTATTGCGCATTTTTTGCGGCCGGAAGCAAGCAGGTCTGACTTTCTCCCCCGCGCTAGGGCTATTGGGAGGAGTGTCAAGTACATCGCGCTTAGAGATCAGCTTGAGAAGAGAGTTTAGACCCTCGTTGGTCATAAACTTCGAGTCAGCTCCGAAGTCGATGTTCATCTGTATGATCGCGTCTGGCAGCTGTATATGTTGAGAGACGGCCAGAGCACATGCGAGCTGCCCCGTAAATGTGGCATTGAGAGGCTTGGGCAAGGGTGCGCAAGCCGTTGATGCTGTTGTATGGCAAAAAAAACATCCTGTAAACGGAGAATCTCCAGTAGGGACGCAGCGTACCCAGTGACATCCCACAAGGTATTCATCATTGGACGTGCACGCGGTTCGCATTGACTGAAGTCGCACGCAAGTTCTCTGAGCGTGGGCGCGCGCAGGGTCGCGCAGATGTTGACAAAAGTGACTGAAGTTGAGCATGGTGTGTCTTGAAGACTGGTATCGTGTCTACCTCTAAGGTGCCTAGACATCTGTGCGACTCGGACCGAGGCGGCATGGCAGAGGTAAACGCTCACTGTAAAGTTACTCCATGTTCCAGGACTTAGGAGTGATTGCTTCAAGACGCAAAGATACCTGGTTACGCAAAGGCTTGAGTTGAGACGTGAGGATAAGGTCTGACATGAGTGCAGTGACGTCGCCTCGCGCTGCGACGTGTGTAGTTTGGTTTGGACATCAAGTAAGATTTTCTGTAAACGTTTGTTCGCGTATGGAAATCGGGTTGTACCCATTCTGAAGGCGTGGCCAGAGTCTACGCTTGATGACCGCTGTCATCAGGACATGCACTTCCATGTACTCGGTCTGGGATCCATTGGCACTCTACTCACCCACCACATCTGTCGCACCGTTGACCCCAAGCATGCCGTCGTCCTCATGCACAAGGACAAGTCCCGCCTTCTGGAGGCGACCCGCAAGGGAGGTGCCATTAGCGTGCAGAGTCGCGGTGTCCAGGAGACCTCGACGGGTTACGAGCACGACCTCGTCGACGCATACCACCAGCCGATTGACGACACCGCGAACGTCACCTATCAAGCCCAGCAGAAGTACCGGGAAAAACAGCGCAGAGTTGTCGACAACACACCCATCCAGTCGCTCTACGTCACCCTCAAGGCATACGCCATCCTTCCCGCCCTTCGCCTTTTATTGCCCTGCATCCGCCCAAGCACCATGATAGTCCTTATGCACGATGAGCTGGGAGTTTACGAACATCTCATAGACGAGCTTTTTCGCAACTCTGTCAACCGGCCACACTTCATCCTGACTTCGAATACCCACGGTGCATACACTATCGAGAGCCGGCTCTTGTCTGTCGTGCATGCCAGCACGAAGGGTAGTACCCTCAAATTTGGCGTCGCCCCCGATCCTCGGGGCCGATCTCTGAAGCAGGGTATATTCCCAGGAGAGCAAGCCCTCTCGCCTGACGCGCTCTCGACCTCAGATGACCCTGACGCTGCACATTATGCTTCCCTTCGCAACACGGTGAGGGCCCTCAGCAACCTTGTAAGGCTGAACTCGTCCTGGATACCTCTGTAAGATCTCCTAGTGAAGATGAAGCGCAAGGTCGTCGTCAATTCTGTCATCGATCCCCTCGCGGCCGTCATGAACTGTCGCAACGGCGACGTCGCTACCAGCCCTCATACTGCTCGTAACTGTCGTGCCATCTGTGAGGAGGCGTCACTCGCATTGGCTTTGCAATACAACGAACAGTGCATTACGGGCGAACGACGACCACTACGCTTAATACCGCCTTTAACGCCAAACGCACGGGATGCGGTGCTATCTCGCTTGCCGACCACTCTTCGTGCAGACGCCTTGATGAAGCAAGTTTACCGGGTGGCGACGGATACCCGTTTCAACACTTTCTCGATGCTACAGGACATACGCACAAACCGTGAGTCGAAAGTCGACTTCATGAACGGCTACCTTGTATCTCTTGGGCGCCCTTACAAGCTGCAAATCCGCGCGACCAGCATGCTTGCCAATATGGTCCACTTACGCCAAGAGATACCACTCGACCCGCTCATGGATCTCCCTCGTCCAGATGTAATTAAGGAGCAGTTTGGGATACCGCAAGATGAGTGGGTCGTGCATCGCGCATGGACACTGGTCATAATGCGCAAATTCAAACGCACAAGATATCGGTCAGAGTCGGTCCATACGCGCAGGGTGTTGCACGCTAAGCGGAGACGAGCGGCCAAAGTCGCCAGGACACATTCAGAGACACCTATCAACGCTCCCAAGACCTCCGGCATTGACGATGGCAAGAAGTGGCAGTATTAGGGTTTCGGCTCGGGGACGCGTAAGCGAGGCCGGCGCAGATAGTCTGGGTGAACAGCAGGAATGTTTCGCCCTAGTCAACCAAATCTCGTTCTGATCCGCCAAATCTCACTGCGCACAGGTAGGATTTTGGCTTGGTTTGTCCGTCAGCATATGCACCACCAGTGCTGTACTAAGCGCTATGATATCAATGTGAAAATGATATGTTAATCGTGTTGAATACTTATAGCTGTTGACGGCGGAGATTAGAGACCGTTGCTTGTGCGCGCGTGTGTGCGCGTACGTGTGCATGCACGGGTAGATATATAGGTATATAATGATACAGGCAGAGATATACTACACGACTGTCAACGCCTTTTCAGCACCCCATCTAGCTGGGGGTGTATGTTCGTCCTGTAGATACCGGGCTGGTCGAGCCGAGGGCGCTTGCCTCTGCTCTCGCTGGTAATCGTAGCTGTAGCATCATCCGACTGAGCTAGGAGCAGGGCGAATTGAAAGCTGCGCTTGCGCGGCTTCTTCGGCGCGGGAGGTACGAGCGATGATGGCAAAGGCGAAGATAATTGCTGTTGTGAGCCTTCGGACTGCGCCGACCCGAGCGTCAACGCGCTGATTGCGTCCGTCGTGTCCGTTTCGGCAATGTTCTGCTCGATCAGTCATTCCTGACGGTAGAAAGCGTCGAGAGCGGCATAAGCGCGCTTGCGGGCAGGAACCTCCTCGTCCTTCAGCGCCGACTTGTCACCTCCCTTAGTCTTGACCTCCCACTCTTTGATCTTTGTGAGGGACTGGATGACCGCAGTACGAACCACCGTATGAGGTACATCACGAGTAGGAGCACCTCGTGACGGATATACACTACGAGACGTGTCAGTTCCTCTCGCACAGGATAGTCATTGGAGCCCAACACCGGCGGTGACGTCCCCGCAAGGTATACAAAAATGGCCTATAGTACCTCTTCCGGTAAGTTGATATGTGCGTACCGGGTGGGCCTGCTTCTGTAAGACATGCTCACACTCATGAGCTTTATGTGGCTCAAGTGACCGCTCGTACGAAGCTGCAGGGCACTGTTTCATCGATGGAGATGAAGCATATCACACCAGTTTGAATATCTGTTGGATGCACGGACTGCTCAATAAGAACCTAGCAGCGGCACACCTTTTGTATTCACAGTCGTCTGGTGATCGTATAACTCATGGGCCCATGCGATACTTCGTGATATGCGCCAAACAAAGTGGGATGATTGCAATTCTAGAAACCCCGAGGTATCGGTTATTGTGCAACATCTATTTCTGAGATAACGCAACGCGGCAAGGATAACAGTGTGTCGAGCTTGGAAACCGTGAGCACGTGGTTCTCAGTGTGAGATCATGTCAAACTTGGAAGGGGCACGTGGATCGTTCACAGAACGCACGTGGACTTAGCCGATATCAAACTCTCTATTGGCCATGCCGCGCTTACGGACATCACGCTTGATCTTCCACAGGTTCCTTCCTGCCTCCACCACTGACGTTACTCCGAGAGTAAAGTGGCCCCTTCTCAAAAGTCTAACTCTAATACAACCACCTCTCCACCATTGATGTCACGTCTGCCGCCTCGGACTCGTGGCTCGCGCAGCGCCGATGGAACGACTGCTTCTCCGAGTCCGCATGATGACGAAGATCGCGTTTGGGAGCTGTTTGAGAAAAGCGACGCCGAGGAGTTCAAGAGAGTAAGGGACGACTATATGGAAAAGACAGCGGGCGCTTCCAGCGGTGCTGCCTCCTCACTGGTTAAGCATCCAATTGCAAGAACATTTTTGTGAGTGCACTTTGCATGTTTTGCAACGCCACCGCTCACTTTAAGCATGCTATGTCGTCCACCCATTCCAAACCTCACTTTCGCGACGCTCGCCACGCGCTCCGACGATACTTCAAACTACACATGCAACGCTACACCACAGTGAGGAGACGGACACGTCTCAGTGCTTTCAAGTTCGTCTTGCCAAAAATACGACTGCCGAAGTTCGTCCGGGATGCATTGTTGCGCTCGCTCCAAAGATACAGGACAACGCCGCAGAGGAGCCTGGATTTTTTCTCCTGGTGACTGATCTCATCTACGAGGACGACGCAACACCCGAAGAAGAAGAAGCAGCCGATGAAGAAGAGACAGAGCAAGAGCAAAAGCGGGGCGTCAGAGCCGTCAGTGGGGTCTATCTTGAGAGTTTAAAATACATGACAGCGGCGCTGAAGCAGAATAAAATATGGGGCAAAGACAAGTGAGTGATCATCTTTCGCTGGTTTCAAACCTGACCTTCGTATTCCAGAATTTCGGAGTTCATAGGGTCCATGTCCGGGAAACCCTCATGGTTCATAACCAATGAGCGGGCTGAGATTGATGTCGAACTTATCATCGGTGCGTCATGCGGCAGCAAATGTTTCGCACTCGACTTCTGATAGGGATTCAGGGGTGCCCTCCGACGCCCAATTAAGTGCACTCGGCATCGAAGTTTCATCGGACGCTCGTCTGCTTCCAAAGCAACGCAAGGATGGGAAACGCCAGTATCAAATCGATTTGTTCACTGGTACACCAGAGGTGTGAGTTAGATGGCTGGTTTCAACGACTTCTGCCGTCAGTCCGAGGGTATCTGCTTTGTTGAGGTGCGAGTTAGAGATGAGGATGGATGACTCCATATAGGAGTTTCTTGTACTGCAGTCTCCTACGTGCGGGGTTTCCCTACTCCCCGGCTACAGTATCCAATATAAGTCTTACAGGCAGTATGGCATGGCATTCTAAACACCAAGAAGCCGTCTGTGTACGCTCTTTTCCGACAAATTCTTGCTAAAGAGCGGGGATGACGATACGTCGATGATAGAATCCACTTGAGAGCGCACGTGTGTTTCGCCAATTTCAAACCTTCTGATGAATGTCACATTGACGGATTGCCCAAACTCATTCAATCATCGCGCCTTTCAACTCATGCTTTGCAGACTGTTGATCTACTTTATTTCGTTGGTTGAATAGGCATGAACCCCATTCGTGGCTGAAAACGTGTGGGAACTTGATATTCCAATGTCTTGCCTACACTGCATCTCATGGAGCAGCTGAAACTCAGCTTCATCGATGGTAGTTTCAGAAGACGTTACTGTTACACAGCCTTCTGCTTGACCTTTCCGTAAATGCCGTCAGGATTTTGCGGTGGTCAATTTGTTCGAGAAAAATGCCTACTTGCGCTAGAGACGTGATCCCACCGGATGTGCTGACACGTGAAGCGTCATGCTATATACTGTCGATCTCTCGGTCTTAGCTTTGGAGACGATCAAGGTCATTCTGCCCATATAAAGTGTAGCGCAAGACGATGAGACCACTTGGGACTAATCCTTGAATGGTGATAAAGCGGTAGCGACTCTCATGAAGTGTGAAGAATGTAGAGGAGTATTAGACATGAACAGCAGCCTCTGCTCATACTTTTGTACGCTCAATTCGATGCTATATGGTCTCAGAGTGTAAAATGTCCTGCTTCGGTACGAGCCACTTGTCATCACGCTTGCTTTCAGAGCCCTGATTTTACAGTGGTTACTTTCAGCCGTCGACTCGTGAAAATGACGGTCGAACCGATCAAGAACATTCAATTGAAACGCATATGACCTCACTGACATTTGACATCTGACTTAGGCCTTTCACAGTTTGTCGTGTTCTCGGTGCAATCACAATCTCACAAACGTAGCATCATGGATTTCAACACATGAGGCCTCACCTCACCTACCTATTTCCTACTTTGGAGAACTCGCATTTCTCCCGGCACTGTCTTCGAGTATATAGATCACGCTGCCCAGTTTGATCGGAAAGATTGGGATCCCTGCTCTCCCCAAGTACGTGTGAGTTCTTCGTGGCGCGCAAAAAGTTATGAAGCCTTGTTCACGAGTAGTAAAGACGTCGGTATTCTCAAATATGGCTTCTCAAAAAAGCCCTGAAGAATGGATTGAGTCCATACGGATGGTAGAGACTCAGACCGATGGGGACACGCACGCACTCAGACGTGGATTTGATGAGCTGTTGCGGACTTACCCCAATGCAGTGAGTATCCTCAATCTACAGCTGTCTAACGATGCGTCACTCGAAACCTGACCTTGTCTGCTATCAGATCCAGGCACAACTCCGCTATTTAAGCCATTTTTCAAAGCCGGAACATGACCATATAGTGGAATCTATCTTCAGGCGGTTTCTTCCGTCAAGTCCCTATGTTGATCTGTGGAAGGCTTACATACGCTACGTTCTGTATGTCCCATGATCAGAGCCTGATGGAAGTACGCTGATGTGATGACTTGTCCACGACAAGAAAAAAACATGACACATACAATGAATCGGACGTCCGCGATGCCGTAGGCAAGGCATTGAACTTTGCAGTTGAATGGATAGGGCACGACCAAGACGCCGGAGAGATATGGGTTGAATACATTCGCTATGCTCAGCGGCTCAAGGTGAGGTTGACATATGGAAGGCATGACAGCAGTCGATTGCACGTGGACTCTCTTCATACATACGACAGTCATTTCGATCACGCATGAACCATCATCTCGTGTGATAGCGCATTCCCAGTGCCTCTTGATTTGACAGGCCGAGCTGTTCACATCTCTCTCCTTGCTGAGTCGATGCTTGATTACGAACTGGATTAGAGTCTTACTGACAAACTTCTAGCCGACCAGTGAAAAAGAAGAAGAGACGTGGGCTGAGCATGTGCGAAATATATTCCGACAGGCGCTGAGACATCCTCTCAACAACATAAACCAAATCTGGAACAGTTATGTTGAGTTTGAGCGCTCATGCAGTGGATACTCCCCGGTATTCCAAAGTATTCGTGTCTTCTCAGAAGGTTCTGAAAAGCGAAATAGCCTATAGAGATCTCCGACGACATCAAGATGGTATACGAACGATCACGATCGGCTCTCACACGTCTGGAGATATATAAAGAAGCAATCGCTCAGTTGCCCAGTACAGACATCCGCGATATTTGGCCACCTCGGCAACGGCAATCATCTGAGAGAAATATTGCGCAGATCAATGTTTGGGAAGAGTATCTGAGATGGGAAGAATCTAACCCTCTCAAAATTGACAATAGCAAGGAGCTTAGAATACGCATCAGAACATCATATGCAAAGGCCACAGCTCAGATGCGCTTTTATCCAGAGATATGGTACTTGGCGTGTCAATGGGCACTGAAGGAGTGCTTAGAAGAATATGCGATAGAAATACTTCGGGAAGGCATTCTTGCCAACCCTTCAAGCATCCTGCTTAACCTTACTTACGCCGCAGAGCTCGAAAAACGATCGGATCTCAAAGGTTCACATGAGGTATACAAAAGGCTCATCGGAAGCATCCGTTTCAACATCCAACGGCAAAAAGAGTTGCAAGCCCGAGCTGGGAAAGACCTCGACGGAGGCAATTCGGGATCCGCTAGCGATCTTAATGATGACCGAGTTAATGATGACCGAGAATCTACAGCATCGGGTGTAGATGTGCAATGCCCAGACAAGACCCTATGTCGCAACAGCCAGGAGTACAGCTTTGCATGGATAATGTATATGCGATCTGTGCGACGGTCACAGGGCATTGAGGCCTTTCGAGACGTATTCTCTCAAGCTTGCGCAGACAATCTCTGTTCGTGGAAGATATACGAAGCTGCAGCGGTCACGGAGTACTTTGGTACCGGAATTTCACAGACCGCAACGTCTATCCTTCAACAAGGCTTGGTTCGATTCGGTAGCGATCCTGAATACGTGTTGAGATGTCTCAAGTTCATGGTGTCTATCAATCACGTGGCCGGTGGGATATATACGCCTGTAAATGTGGTGTGTGGCAGTTGACAAGCACGCATAGATGCATCCGCGCTTATGAAGCTCACTGCCGAGCATATTCCCGCGAGCAAAGCTCAACATATTTGGGATTACTGGGCCCGCTTCCAACACTTTCACTCGCCGCTTACTGATGCGCTGGAAAACTGCAAACCGATGGCCAAGCTATATCCAGACTGTGCGTATCTCTCTGGTTCCATCGTTATTTCTCACAAACAAGGAAAAGACTCCCGCCTCAAATGGCTTTCCCTGCAATTCTCCTTCGGCGGTGCGGACGCTATGAGCACTCAAAATTTGGATATAACGTCCTTCGTTTACGCACAACCTTCATCGTCTACATTTGGCGAAACGGCTACTACGGGTGAGAAGACCGCACACATTGATGATTTCCCAACACACCACAAGGAACCGTCCATGTTACAGAAAACGCACACGGCAATGCATGAGCCTCCGCAACGCGATCGCCCAGATCATTCTCCCGCGAGTGACGACGCTTCGGGAAGAATTCAACGAGATCTTACATTGGACATGTCTGAGCAGCAAGCTCACAGTATAAAACTTGATCCTAAGAGGAGGAAATGTACCGACACCCGCAATCCCAAATCGAAGGGAGTAGGATTGAGCAAGTGCCGGATCACACGACCCTACGTCTCATACCCGTTACGGAGTCTTTTAAGGCTACTCCCACTCTCCACGCTATATGATGGCACGTTTTACGGTTCTTGACGTGCATTAATGCTAAGTTTTCTTATTTTTTATCTCATAGGGCCAGTATTCGATGTCAATGAATTGTTGCATATCCTGAAGAACTTGGAGAACCTTCAATGCTCGACTGTCTCGCGGCAAGCTATATCACAGAGTACCGTATACACTGATCAACGGCTGTAGTACCATCATGAATAACTATCTGCGTAGTGTATATTTTTGTTTATTGAAATGAACATGTCAATGTGATTCAAATATTATGTCGGGCTTAGCTGTTTACCGAGCCACGCTATTACCGGACATATAACATGAAAAATGTAAGAGCAACCAGTCATCTTTGTAAACTAGGTACGGAATGTGGTCTATGATGATGCACGAATCTCAGCGTCCAGATCCGATCAGCGACGTTCAGGGGTGATGGTACGATTTCTCGACCGGGTTCGTTGGCTTCTGGGTATGAGAACATGGTCCAATCCAGTCTAAGGTACAGGCAACAAAGCGTTCTCGGACTGGTGAATGGCTCTTCATTCTCAATCTTACGCCAGAGGAATTTGTTCAAAACCTCATGCGACACGCCATTACATCTACCGACCAAACCAGAGCGAACCTAAAACCCGGCCCAGTTTCTCAAAAACAGTTTATCAAAAACATAAGGCAAGATAGCGCACATGCGCACTGGCGACAGTATGAGCATCATCGAGTAGGGTCGCTTTGCATATATACTCAACAAGCATCTGCAGGTTCCAGCTCTGAGCCTTGATAACAATGAAGACAAGCAAATGGTTGCAACCATTCTTGTGTATTGCCCGTCATTGCCCGAGAACACCAGCATGTTGCAGTTTTCAAAAGTTAGCATGCATGACATGCACGATACCGGGGTTTTGGACTTCAACAACTCCGAGTTCCTCACTCACCGCTGAATGATGACGTTCTTGAGATCCAAGACAAAGGGAAACATGCAAGTTTGCCTTTTTAATGTTCAGGCGCATCTGCGAGCAGGATCCGGCATGACTCTGTTGGCTCAGGGTGAGTCAGTCAGTATGA